CAATGGCAAGAATATAATAAATGAATATTCCAACTCCTGGATGGAATAAACTTTATATATTTTTTAAACGTATTGAATGGTATGCCAATATGCGATCAAGAGCCTTAAGTGTTCATACTCCTTCCTCATAATAGCAAAGCTAAAAACCAGCCAAAGGACCAACATTATAGAAGTTATTGTTCTTATAATTAGCTAAATGATTCGAAAGACATACATTCTAGGGAGAACATTTAGTGTTTTGGTTAAATGCACAAAATGCAGTAAAAGGGAAAAGTAGAAGTACACCCTACATGACAAATTTTGTCATGTACTATGGAACACACCACACTCAAATGTTAACAAAAGTAGAATTATGGGCAATTTAAATTTTCTACTTCACATTTTTCTGTTTCCAAAAATTTCTACAAAGGATTTACGACTTAACTTCTTTTAATTTCCAAGAGAGAGTTAATTCAGAAAGTATTAAAATCTCTACTATGGAAAAATGGTGAGGTAAGGTAATAGCTTGTCTTGAAACCTCTCAGTGCTTAAATATGTATGGTGAGTAATGGATGCTGAGGTCCTGGCTTCAGTGAGGCTGACTAGCCTGGCCACAAGGATTGAGAATTCAAGTGATTTCAAACAGCTGTCCTCAATAGCCTTCCTGACATTCTCCACAACAAGCCAACTAGGTTTTCTAAGGGCAAATCAACGGACTCTTACCTACCATGATAGGTACTATTTCTGTAACCTCAGTCTGAATAGATATTTATATGATGGACTGTTAAACCACACAAAAGCAGGCAGGCTATTACAGTCAAGACATGACAAAACTACCCTGAGGTTCACTCTGTGCTAAATATTTACAAAAAACAGGAATTACTGGAGAAACTTTTCCTCTTTGTCCATGTACATTAATGAATACATATGTCTGTCTGTTCAGAGAATTAATTTATTGAATTGAGTGAAATCTAATGTCAATTATTACAGTGATGAAAATCATAATCTCTCCAAAAGCAGACTTTATAGAGCTAGTCTCTTATCATAAAATTGCAAGGAATGACCAAAGCATGAAAAGATTATAATTATTATCTATAAAGTAGACACTAATCAAGTCTTGAATGTTCAAAGTAACCACCATATATTTTTACATTGAATCACTATAAAATGCTGTAAATTTACTGTAAAATATCTTAGTTTTGCTCATGTCTAACTTCTCCAAAGAAAGTACTGACAATGATTTTGATGATGCTTCCAAAGGTATACTTAAAACATCAATATTATTTCCAAACACTTCAAGAAAGCGGCCTGTCTGCTAACTTTGAAAAGTGCTAACTATGAAAAAAAAAAACTTTGTAAACAGCTGTTGCCCAGATATCAAGCTCAATTATTAAGCATAATCATGTACTATATATCAGTCTACCAAATTAATTATTTGTACTCATTAAAAGAAAATGCATTGATTGTTAAATTATTTGGTATGAGAAGATTTAGGATAATACATTCAACTTTTAAGTTTCTTCCAAACAAAAAAGTTTATAAATAAACCACTTTCTGAATTACTAAATTGGTTATACCTTGTTGAAAGAGAAAATAGCAAGAATTTCAATTTCTACTTCCCCATTTGGTTTCCATTCTGAGTAAACAACTAGATTCAAATTTCAAAATCCAAGAAATTCTACTAGGCACGCCCAGTTTAAGTTCACCTGAATGGCCACGTTGTTGCACTCAAATCAGTTCGTAATTGATCTTATCTTTACAGTGTATACACCTTTTCAACAACTGCTCTTCTAAAAAGTTAAGTGTGAACCCCTTCTAGTCCCCAAAGTCAGAATGTGACTCAAGAAACTGAAAAATAGTTAACTATTAAAATATGGGACCAGCAGATGGCGTAATGGTTACATCACTGGTTTGAGTCCCAGACCCAGTGACTTAAAATTCATTTACGTGTGTGCGCCCAAAATCCTGAGAGGAGAGCAGAGTAGCAGGGGCTGCGGCATGGCCATTCCCCTTGGGGTATGATTTCTCGCTTTCTGTCTCCATCTGTCTCTCTGGCAAGCGCACGTGCCCTATAGCAAAAATTTCTCTTAAAACAAAATAAAAAGCACTATGTCACAAATTTCCAAAGATGACAATATGGACCATTGAACTGAAATTCCTAATATTTAAACTGTAGGCTGTTTCATCTTTGCTGCTTTGCATAATTCAGAAAAAAACATTCACACCTGTCTTAAGTGAAAGCACCTCCCACAAGTGAGCATATAGCACAGGAAGACATATATAGGGGGCCTGCACCTTAACATAGCATTTGATTCCCAATGATTATCTTAGAAAACCCTACATATTTTCAAAGCACAAATTTACTAAACAGTGTGAAAAAAAGATATTAAATTATGGATTTAGATCATTTTACTTTGGTGTTTGGCTACAATTGAGAACAGACTAACAGAATACTGGAGTTTCAGAAGTTTTCAAAAATGATCAAGACAGGGACCAGCCGTTAGTGTAATGGCTATGTCGCTGAACTCCCACATAGTCAACTGTGGTTCAAGTCCTGGACCCGGTGGCTTGAACTCACACCGGGCGCATGTGCATGCGTGCCCAAGATCCCAAGAGGAGAATGGAAGAGAAGGGACTGTGGCGTGGCCATCCCCGCCGGGGGCGGGGGTGGGGGAGTGATTTCTCGCTTTCCGTCTCTCTGTCTCTACCTGTCTGAGGAGTGTGCGTGCCCTATGGCAAAAACCTCTCAAAAAAAAAAAAAAAAGAAGATCAAGACAGTCAATTAGTTGGGACCAGCAGTTAGCGTAATGGCTATGTCGCTGGACTAAACTCACATTGGGCGCATTTGCGTGGTGGTCAAGATCCCAAGAGGAGAATGGAGGAGGATTGCAGCGTGGCTAACCCCCAAAACCTCTCCAAAAAAAAAAAGACAGTCAATTAGCAAAGAGGTTAGGAAAATATGAACAAAGTATTTCTAATCTATGAAAGCCAATCAAAGAGAATGCCCATGAAGACATATCTCACGTCATCTCTACAATGGGGTTCTATCTTCAAAGAGATTTTGAAAGATCTTCTCTTTTTGCCCAAAAAAGACAAAGAATTGGGGTAGTTATTTAAAAACTTGTTTAGTAAGTGAAATTGTACTATATCAAAAGCTACATCATGAGCTTGATTAACAGATTAGAACGGGATATATGAATGTATAAATAATTGTATAGCTGTTAGAGATGTCTTAAAAATATTATTAAATGGTGCTGGCAGGTGACATGGTGGTTGGGGAGCTGGACTCACACATGGCCAAGTGTGGTTTGAGTCCCAGACCTGGCAGTTTGCTTTCTCATTTTCCCTCTCTTTCACACTCTGTCTCTCTCTTTCTGGTCAAATTTAAAACATTAATAATAATGACGATGATGAATAAAATTAAATAAATAATCTTTTCCAAAAGGAAAATTACTAAAGAGCCAGCCCCAAAGCCTAATGGTTAAGGGAGCTAAATCCCACCTGGCCAACAGTGGTTTGAATCCCAGCTCCAATGGCTTGAAAAACATACCTGAAGCATGTACATTCATGCCCAAAATCCCTACAAGAAGGAGAAATGGAGAAGGGACTGCAGCCATGGCAGCACGCCATCAGAAAGGCCTTTCTCCCTCTCTGTCTCTCTGGTGGGCACATGTGCCCTCTTGGCAGTAAAAAATACACATATTATTAAATATAAAACTAAAATATACCTACAGCCTGCCTTAGAACAACCCCAAAGCCTGCTTCCCTCATGCATTCAACTGATGAGCTTCAATTTAATTCCCTTCTCAATACTGTAATAGAAAGAACTATGAAAATAATTCAGTATCAATAATAGAAGTAAAAAGCATTTCTAAAATGGTTTAAAACTCATATGTAATATATATGTGAAAGCAGCTTTTATTATTTTATGTTGAACACCTATAAAGTGCTTTAAAATCAATCATTTTCTTATAGAATTTATGTAAGTTTGATTAGTTATAGGCTAATTAAACAATATGATTTTTCTCGAAATAGTCTTTATATAGCAGCAATATGCTGTCTTCACACATAGAAACAGAAAACTAGAGAGAAAAACCATAACCACCTATAAAACTTCAAGAAACCAAAACTTCCCCCTCTTTAACTGCTTCCCCCCCTTTTATTACTCTTTAATTCTACAGAAGCAATAAACATTGCTGTCATGATCTATTAAACACCAGGTAGTTTACGAAATACTCCTAATCGTAAGAATCTCTTCAATAGGAGAATTCACCACTTCAGATATCCTTTTTCCACTATGAAATCTCAAGACTGACTTTGTAGGACATAGTACCAGATATGATAGTACTGGGAAAAGCAAGTATGTCAAACATGTAGTAAATTACATACCCTTATATCAATAAGAGTTGGAACAAGCAGATTCTAACATACTTTTTTAGCTTGGAAGATTAAGGGGAAATTCTTCAAAAAACATTCTTTTGATACAAGTGACAACTTAAAATAGAAAAATGTGCAACAAGAAAAACTAGCTTATCATGCACTGAAGGGTGGGCACGTAAAACTACTATTTTAGGAGAAATAGTTACCAGAAAACTTTAAGAAAAAGATAGAACAAGTTATCTCAGACACCGTAACCTCAAAAGCAATGGCTATATAATAAAGCAAGGTGCCTATTCCTGAGGAGAACAGTGAGTATTAAATTTATGCATGCTAAAAGGGCAATGATGGGAGTTCAGGTAATGTAATACAGAGAAAAAGACTTATGAGAAATTCCATTACTTAAAAATAATGTTGTCCCTATCATTAACCTTTTTTTTTTTTTTTTTGCTGATGTGCTAAAGTGCACTGGAAACCTCAGAACAGGTTAAAATGGCCATGTCTCTGTTAATAGACTGCAGTCTTCAAATTTACATAGAGCTGCAGGTCTCTTGGATTTTTTTTTTTCAAGTGTCACTAACTGAACCTGACAGCTGAGAAATGCCATCAGGTGCTTTACAGTCAGTTTAAAAAACATCCTCTACCTGGTATCTCTGCAGTGATTGTCTTGCTGCTCCCTGAAACCTCTTCATCATCATCTGACGAGCTGGTGCTTGAGTCACAAGTCAGGTCACTGTCACTGGTACTACTGTCCTGCAGCAGGTTGTATTTCTTCCTTGCAGCAGCCTCTCGTTTCTGCCTCAGTAGCCTGATCCTCTCCTTGTGCTTTTGGCTCCGATGACCTTTAACCTTGGCAACTCGGCCATTCTGTTTATCACTGGATTGCCGGTTTTTCTTGGCCGCCATGGTGGATGTTTCACTTTCAGACCGGGACCGCCTAGACTTGCGCCCAACTGTGGCACCAGATACTCCTGAAGGGTCTCCTTCTGCTGCTGTTTCTGCCTGGGAGGGTTCATTTTCTTCTGCAGAAGACAACGTATCTGAATCAGCTAGGTGACCACTAGATGAAGGGGAAAGCATGCAGTGATTAGAGGAGTCACTCTCATAAACTCGGCCAGTAGTTGGCTTGTCACTTTCTGTAGATGCTAACTGAGACTCAGAAGAGTCCCTTCTGAGTTCCATCAACAAGCAAGGCATTGAAGAAAGAACTGTAGAATCCGCTACACTGTCTTTATGAACTTGAGATTCCAGTTCTACAGATCCATCTTCCTCCTTGACTGTCTCTTGTTCAGATGTTTTTGGTGGGACTTCAGACTCAATGAGTTCTTCAACTTTTCCCACTGCCTCCTCCATCTTCATTTCAGAATTTCACATTAAATCATGGGGCAGAGTCTAGGAAATGATATCAAAGATGCGACAGGAATGTGACCTGTAGAAAACACATAAAATAAATAAATAGACATAGCACATGATTTAGTCAACACAACATGCCTACCTTTCAAGTAGGTGGCAAAAATTACCATCACATCAGGTGTGTATGTGTGTATGTGTATAAATAAAATCAAAAGACTTAATACCATCAAATTCCTAGTATATTCAGCTGCTCTAAATGATACAATATTAACCCTCTATTACTGAACTTGTAAAGTCAGCAAGTAACCAAGCAAGGATTTTCAGATTCACAACTTGTAAGTGCTCAAGAAAGGGATCAGCAGGGACCAGCAATTAGCGTAATGGCTATGTCTCTGGACTCCCACGTAGTCGACTGCGGTTCACGTCACGGACCCGGTGGCTTAAAACTCACGCCGGGGGGAACCAGCAGTTAGCGTAATGGCTATGTCGCTGGATTCCCACGTAGTCGACCGCGGTTTGTGTCCCGGACCCGGTGGCTTAAAACTCACGCCGGGCGCGTGTGCGTGCGTGCCCAAGATCCCGAGAGGAGAATGGAGGAGAAGGGATTGCGGCGTGACCATCCCCCCTGGGGGGTGATTTCTCGCTTTCTATATCTATGTCTCTCTCTGTCTGTCTGGCGACGCCCTCCAGTGAAAATCTCTCCAAAAAAGGTGGCTTAAAATCACGCCGGGCGCGTTGGGGTTGCTGCCCCAAGATCCCGAGAGGAGAATGGAGGAGAAGGGATTGCGGCGTGGTCATCCCCCCTGGGGGGTGATTTTTCACTTTCTATCTCTCTGTCTCTGTCTTTCTGGAGAGCACACGCGCCCTATAGCAAAAACCTCTCCCCAAAAAAAGAAAGCAATCAGCAAAATTCTGACATAATTAAATGTATGCTTTGATTTTAATATGAAAAAAATACTCTTACATAAACTGAACTAGGAAATTTAGACTAAAATCTTCAAAGAAAGGGTGGCTTACAGTGGAAAAATGTCAAATACAGTTTTGGGATTTTTTTGGCCATAAGGTATGTGTGCTCACCTGAGGCAGACCGACAGACAAACAGAAAGGGAAAGTAAGAAATCACCCATTCAGGGTGCATGGCCATACCACAATCCCTTCTCGTCCATTCTCTTCTCGGGATTTTGGGCACACACATGCACCTGGTGTGATTTTCATGCCACTGGGTCTGGGTCTCAATCATAAAATCGGCTATGTGGGGTTGAGCAGCCTTAACTTCCACACCAGCTGCTGGCCACCCACTTTTTTTTTTTGGGGGGGGGAGGTTTTTGCTATAGGGCGCGTGCGCTTGCCAGACAGAGAGAGACATAGAGACAGAAAGCGAGAAATCACTCCCCAGGGGGGATGGTCACACCGCAATCCCTTCTCCTCCATTCTCCTCTCGGAATCTTGGGCAGGCACACACACGCGCCCAGCGTGAGTTTTAAGCCACCGGGTCTGGGACGCAAACTGCGGTTGACCATGTGGGAGTCCAGCGACATAGCCATTACGCTAACTGCTGGTTCCCTCTAAAGTTTTATTTTTGAAGGCAGCAACACTTGGTCTTTTTCAAAGTCCATAATACAACATCATGCTGAAAAGTAAACTATGAACAATGAACATAAACTATTTTTGTCTTATAAAAAAAACATGAAAATATGAATGACTTCCAGTATCATACATCAAACAAAATTATTTTAATTTTGAGTTCCTTAAATTTAAATATTAAATGAGATTTAATTTCTCACTCCAAGTGCATGTGCAAGCCTGCTCAAAATCCCTAGGAGAATGGAGAAGGGATTGTGGCGTGGCCATTACCCCATGGGGAGGGAGGTGTGATTTCTCACTTTTTGTCTCTCTTGTTTCTCTGGAGAACACACATGCCCTATAGCAAAAAAATCTTAAAGAAAAAAGAGAGAGAGAGTTATTTAATTTCTGCTGCCTAAATAACCAACTAATATGGGGTCAAAACCACTTACATATGCCAAATCAATCACAAAAGGTGAGAATCAATCATAAACAGAACATCAGTTAGCTTACCACATGAAAAAAGTTTATTATACCATTTATGTAGGGACCAGCAGTTAGCGTAATGGCTATATCACTGAACTCCCATGTAGTCGACCGTGGTTCGAGTCCCGGACCCAGTGGCATGGACTCACACCGGGCGCGTGTGAATGCATGCCCAGGATCCCGAGGGAAAACAGAGGAGAAGAGATTGCGGTGTGGCCATCCCCCTGAGGGGTGATTTCTCGCTTTCTGTCTTCTGTCTCTCTTTCTGGCGAGCGCACGTGCCCTATAGGAAAACCCTCTTCAACAAAAAAAAAAAAAGAAAAAAGAAACACCAAAATTACATTTATCTGAGTTTACAGATACAAAACCTCTAAAAGGATATTTAAGAAAATGGTAAAGAACAGAACACTTTGGTAAGATCCCCCTGAGGGGTGATTTCTCGCTTTCTGTCTTCTGTCTCTCTTTCTGGCGAGCGCACGTGCCCTATAGGAAAACCCTCTTCAACAAAAAAAAAAAAAGAAAAAAGAAACACCAAAATTACATTTATCTGAGTTTACAGATACAAAACCTCTAAAAGGATATTTAAGAAAATGGTAAAGAACAGAACACTTTGGGAAGGAAAGAGAGTGAATAACAGTACATGAGTAGAAGACTTAGTATCATATGCAGTTTTGTACTTCTTGAACTTCATATCACATGCAAGTACTATCTATTCAAAAATCTACTATGATATAATAGTCTTTGGAAGGGGGCTGGCAGGTGGCGTGGTGGTTAAGGCACTGGCCTTCCACACAGCTGACTGTGGTTCAAGTTCTGGAGGCTTACTTTCTCTCTCTCTGTCCCTTTCTGGCCAAATTAAAATAAAATAAAAAAATAAGTCTTTGGAAGAAAAGGGAGTTTGGCTTTTACTGGCCATGTGAATCAAGTTTAATCAATAACTTCTATTAAGTTTTTCTCCTGCTAGTAGAATTTTGTGATAATTAATTAAATAGAAGGAGATAAACCATAGGAAGTGGAAATATGAGCTCTCACAAAGCTCCCTGCAGTGAAATAACAAGTAAAAAAAAAAAAAAAAAAAAAAAGTAAAACTAAAAATAAATAAATAAAAAGTGTCCTAAACACAATAAGAAATGGTGTCACAAAGATTAATCTTTTTAAACAACTAGATTTAAGGGCATATATTTTGGTTGGGGGTGGGGCAGGGCAGAGAATTTTCTGGTAGGAGTCCTCGAGTAGATGACAGTAGAAAATGATAAAACTGTCAAATGGGATTATTACATCATCTAAATGGGATAAAGGGCTCTCAATAATTTGCAGTGAATTTACAGTTGAAGAAACTATACAACACTTACAACATTTTCCTATTAGCACAGCATTTTTTTCCCTATTCTTTTCTTCTCTTCAATCTAAAGGCAATCCCCTCCTATACAAATACTAAAGCTCATCTCCTCATTTCCCTAGAACTTTACTGATTATTTATTCCTTGGTTCTCATCAACCCCTTGTATTCATTGACTAGACCATTTATTCATTCATCACTTAAAAAATTCTCCTTTATGGGGCCAGCACGTGGCATGGTAGATAAGGGTGCTGAACTCCCACATGGCCGACCCCAGTACAAGTCCTGGATATGGCGGCTTGCTTTCTTTCTTTCTCTCTCTCTCTCTCTCTCTCTCTCTCACTCTCACTCTGTCCCTCTCTGGTCAAATAGTAAAGTTATATAAAATAATATTTTAAGAAAAAATTCTCCTTTATGGGGCTACCAGGGGGTGTAGTGGTTACAGTGCTGGACACTCCCACATGGGCGACTGCGGTTTGAGTCCTGGACCTAAGTGACTTACTTTCTCTCTCTCTCTCTCTTTCTCTCTCTCTCTCTCTCACTCACACCCACCCGCCCCACACCTTCCTCTCTCCCTCCCTCCCTCTCTCTCTCTCTCTGTTTCTCTCTGGTCAAATTAAAATAAATTAAAAAATGAATTAAAATAAATAAATAGAGACCAGCAGTTGGCATAATGGCTATGTTGCTGGACTTCCATTTAGTCGACTGAGGACCCAGTGGCTTAAAACTCACACCAGGCACCTATGCATACGTGCCCAAGACCCCAAGAGGAGAATGGAGGAAAAGGAGCTGCAGCACGTCCAACCCCCATGGCAGGGGGGCGGGGCGAGTTCTTGTTTTCTGTCTGTCTCTGTCTTCCTGGCAAGTGCACGTGCCCTATAGCAAAAACCTCTAGGGAACCAGCAATTAGCGTAATGGCTGTCACTGGACTCCCACGTAGTCGACCGCGGTTCGCGTCCCGGACCTGGTCGCTTAAAACTCATGCCAGGCGCGTGTGCATGTGTGCCCAAGATCCTGAGAGGAGAGTGGAGAATGGTTTGGAGCGTGACCATCCCCCCTGGGGGGGTGATTTCTCACTTTCTGTCTCTATGTCTCTGTCTGTCTGGCGAGCGCACGCGCCCTATAGCGAAAACCTCTCCCAAAAAAACCTCTCTGGAAATTAATTAATTAATTAATTAATTAAATGGTGGAGGTTGTGTCTAGAGTGCTCTTAGTGGAGATGGAGAAGATGAAGAATAGTCAACAAGCTAGAAAACAATTAAGGTAGGATTGATAGGAATTAGTGAATGATGGGGATATAGTGAGTAAAGGAAGGCAATGACAAGGGTAAGTCTCAAGTCTTTTTTTTTTCCCCTTAACAAGAGGAAGCATGTGTGTATACGTGAGAGCGCAAGAGAGAGACCCTTAGGCCAGCCTGTGGTCTGGTGGTTATGTGGGTTGAACTGTGTGGTTCAAGACCTGGCTGGCCCTGACCGCTTGAAAAACACACAAGGCACATGTGCGTGTGTGCTCGTAATCCCCAAAGGAGAGAGAAATGGAGAAGGGATTGTGGCCTAACTATTCCCTACAGGGGATGCCTTCTTGCCCTTCACCATCCCCCCACCCCTGCTTTTGGTGAGTGCATGAACTCTCTGGAAAATTTTTTTATAAAGCACTCTTGATAGGATGTCTTCATTCTTTGACCTCCTT